GATATGACACTAATCAAGATGCACTGTTCATAAACTGCTTTGTTAAATGGCAATCCTTTGTACAACTAATTAATGATAATAAAAATTAATTAAATCATTGATCTCATGCAAGTATAGTTAGTAACGTAGAAGACTGGTTGACAGAGGTTGGGGAAAGCAGGAAGGAGGCATGGAGAAAGCTTAGATAACTAAGTTTCAATTTCACAGGCATAAAATACTGGCATTCTATTGCCTATAATGATGATTTCAAAAAAGGGTTTGGTCTTTTTTTAAAAAAAAAAAGGTTTAAATGTTCTCACCACACACAAAAAAAAGAATGTTTCAGAAGATTGAATAAATTTGATATACTTTTTGGAGTTCAGTGGTACATACTAGTCCAAAGTGACTACTTGTAACCCATGCTTCGCAACAATATCAGTAAGTATTGGCATTTACCACATTTTCTGACTGCTATGGTAGCCGTTTCATAATTCTATAAGTAATCAGTCTAATATATTACATGGTTGGGTTTTTACTTCTTTTCTCCAAAGTCTTCTCATTAATTATTACTCATACTTCATTCTATGGCAGCCAAATCACCAAGAAGAAAACTTAAAATTCATGAGGATGAGCCATGAGTTTCTTCATTTTTTTTTACTGGTATTGGGGCTTGAACTCAAGGCCTAGGTACTGTCCCTGCTCCTCTTTGTGCTTAAGGCTAGCACCCTACCACTTGAGCCACAACACTATTTCCAGTTTTTTTCTGAGTAATTTATTGGAGATAAGAGTCTTAGGGACTTTCCTGCCTGGGCTGGCTTTGAATCTTGATCCTCAGATCTCAGCCTCCTGAGTGGTTAGGATTCTCAGCAAACCATGCATTTCTAAACCCATGTCAGGGTCAACACATTTGCAATTCAGGTTTTAGTAATATTATTGAGTTAATGCTTACGTAATTATTAGTGGATAAATTGCTTACATAAATACTAGTGGATATATTTATACACTATTTTAAAAAGATCTTTAATCGAGAACACTTTTAAATTTTTATTCTCAGTTTTAATTCTAGAAAAAGAAAAGTTTTCCAAAACATCAAGAGAAAGATTATGAGTAAGTATCTCTGCAAATGAGTTAGCTATGATCTAAATTGTGAAAGAAAAGTAGCTTACTTTACAGAAAGCAGTTAAGGGCCAAGTAAAACTTAATCCAAACCAAAACATTCAGCACAATTTTTATTTCTGGCAACTTCAGTTCCTGGCTAGAAAAGGTGTCTTAGCTATGACATTAAATGGTGACAATTTATTGAGATATAAAATATTGGTACATTTGGCAGCACTTTCTCTTAAGCTAAAACTACTGTTATTGGTTCATGCCACAAGTGCCATAGCCTTGAATTAAATCAATCATTCTAAAGTGAAAGTCAGAGGTGAACCAAATGACCAAGATTTTTTTTCCAAATACATCTGCCTCCTTCATATTCTTATCACCAAAATTATAAAAAAAAGATGTGTAGGTAACATAATAGATGTATGAGCACCTTTAAAATAAACAACTCAATTATTTTGAAATCATCTCGCTTGTCTCTGCTTTCATCAAGAATTTTCAAATTAAGTCTCTCTCTCTCTCTGACACACACACACACACACACACACACACACACCAAACACTGTATTAATAGCAAGTATATAAGAAAAAGAGCTATAAAGTGACAAAAGCTCATTAGAAGGCTATGGAGGCAAAGAGCTGTAAACCAGCTTTAGACTTTAGGTAGACAGGTAGGTGTATGTAATCATCTTTAGACTTTAGGTGTGTGTGTGTCTGTCTGTCTGTCTGTCTTTAGCGGTGTTTGTGTGTGTTTTGTGATTTGCAATAGAGGGGACTGAACTCAGGGCCTTGTATTTGCTAGCCAGGTGTCCCTGAGCCATATCCTCAGCCTAGCATTCAGAGATTATTTTATGCCAACTACCCCCAACTACACTATATTGGGTGGGGGGGCGGGGGGGAGTTGAACTCAAGGCCCCATGCTCTCAGAATTTTCACTCAAGGCTGGTGTTCTACCACTTGGAACACAGCCCCATTTCCTACATTTTAGACACTGACAAGTGTTCAGCTTACTATCCTGTGAAAAGAACATGGCCTACTAACCAGACAAACTGTAAATTTAAGCAAATGGAGGGGGAGGGAAAACTTTAAAAGCCAGACAATGAAAGATAAAAATTATGTTCTAGCATTAAAAACACAGTAACAAAGTACTATTTTGCGTAATTGATAAACCTGTTTCAAGACTTCTATTTATATCTTATTACTTTATTTTTCATTATGTAGCACTTGATTTATTTCTGGTAAGCTGAATCAGGCTAAAGATATTAATCATGCTAGAACTTAAGAAATTACTATATGATACCAAAACCGAGCAAGGAGTAATGGAACATGGTTGCAATTCCAGCTACTCTGGAGGCAGAGACAGGAGGATCAGGAGTTAAGAGGTCAGACTCTACTTCACAAAACAAAACGACTAGGGACATAGCTCAAGTAGGAATAACTGCCTTATAAGCACTGAGATTCAATCCTTATTACTGAGGGGAAAGAGGAGCCAAAATTGTGTGATTAATACAACTAAATAAACTTAAATCCACAATGCAATACAGAGTTAGATTAAAAAAATAAACTTTCAAGATCCAATTATAAAGCAAATAATTATACCTCTTTACAACCATTCTTTTTTTTTTTTTTTTTTTTGTCGGTCATGAGGTCTGAACTCTGGGCCTGGGCACCATCACATCCCTCAGCTCTTCAGCTCAAGGCTAGCACTCTACCACTTGCCTCAGCACCACTTCTGGCTTTTTCTGCTTATGTGGTGCTGAGGAATTGAACCCAGGGCCACATGCATGCAAGACAAGCACTCTACCACTGAGCCACCTTCCCAGCCCTGTTTTTATGTCTTACATATAGCTCTAGGAAAAGATTCCTAGAATTTATAAACAATCATTACATTACTGTTGCATGGTAATTTGGACTAGTATTTTGGACTAGTATCTTAAACTACTTGGTAATTTCCCACTCCAAGCTCAATTTATGGCATTCTACAATGACACCTACTGGCTATTGGAAACCATCCATTCTTTCTCTAAGACAGCTCAAGTAGGCTGATTACATAAACACACACACACACACACACACACACACACACACACACACACACACACACTATTCCACACCATACTGCAAAAAGACAAAGATGTGTTCACTTGTATTCAAAACACTACAGAACTTCACCTAAAACAGAAAGGTAAGTTTTCTTTGTGACTGAGACAGCATTATTCTTTTTTCTTGTTTTTTGGTTGGTGGTGGTGGTGGTCGGTAGTGGGGCTTGAATTCTGGACCTGTGCGCTGTCCCTCAGCTCTTCAGCTAAATTCAAGCACTCTACCCTTGAGCCACAGTGCTACTTCCAGCTTTTTTTGCTTATATGGTGTTGAGGAATCGAACCCAGGGCCTCATGCATGCACTGAGCCACCTTCCCAGCTCAGCATTATTCTTCTAATAGATTCATTTTAAATATTTCATTAAAACATCTCATTACTCTGAACACCTCAGAACACATTCTAGTTATCCCCCAATAATATTTTGAGAAGAAAAAAACTGAAATTTTGATATGGCTTTATATTTACCAATAATAGAAAAAATCACCTTTAGAAGTTTTCAGGCAGTACCAAAACAAGTTCAGTAAACATTACATATGCTAGTCCTAAATTTGACCTTTTCTTCTAAGTTTTAAAGACATTTCAAACAGTTTACTTTTTAACAATTTACAATGCTTATTTTAAAAATCGTTTTCTAGTCTTTTCAGATGGAATGAACTATAAAAGTGTCCTTCCAAGACATATGCTGACTAGACCTGCTATGCTAATTCTCCATTTCATTGTGCAAACAAAAAAGTATAAGGGTGTTTTTGTTAAATAATTTATCTGTAAATGCATTTTTACCTAAGTCCAGGAGATTCAAAGCACATACATTATTTTCAAAGCCCATACTTTTTTAACCACAAAAATACTCAGCTTCTTAGACTTCCAGAGCAAACTACTTAAAAGTTAATTATCCACCCCCCTTCATTATTCAGACTTCTACCTTATTTTCACAGTCCCTAATGCAATATCTCGGAGGTTGGGGGGGGGCCGGCAACAGAGTCGGGGGGGGGGGCGTCAACTAACGAATGTTCCGATGTGCTCTCCATCTTTCTGAAGGTTAAAAATTTTAATATGTGATATCAGATTTGATTGTCAAAACAAATAAATTCATGAACTACGAAACATGACTCTGATCACGTTCATCTCAAACTCGTAGCCTATCTCTCAGACCCAAGTCCATATTTGGGATCAGCTCTTCGTGACTATTCCATCCCTCACGCTACCAACCCTTCACCTACAAAGCCTGTCAGGGTAGAAAGCGCATCAGATGAACCAAGGAAAAAGTGTTCCGACAAGGTAACAGGCTGCAAGACATCTTCCAAGGGGGTCAACCTAGTTGTGCCAAGGATTACATAATGTACAGCTAGGTACCGATTCCAGGATCTAACCACCAGTGAGAATAAATGTTTAAAAAATCCTACTCGCACCGCCCTCCTGGCCTCTCGCCCCGGGAAATCAACCCCGAGGAGCAATTCCTAGGATTTCGCTCAGGTGTCTGCAACGCCGCGTCCTTTCCGTGCAAGGAATTCCTTCAACCCTCACTAACCAGCGTCTGGCTCCCGCCCGTCGCCGCCCGCGGCCGGCGCCACCGCAGCCCCCACCCCCGACGCCGGCCCCCACGTCGCCCCGCGAGCCTCGGACCCCACCCGCTCCAGCTGCCGCCTTCCACTCACGACCCTTGCAGGCTGCCGCCGGGTGTACGAGGTTCCGGAACCAGTCACGGCTCTGGCCACCGCCTTCCCCGGCCACCCCCGCCGCAGTGCTCACAGCCCGAGACGAGGGGGAAAAAAGCCCTCGCTCAGCCCTGGGCGGCCCCCAGACACGGCGCCGCCGCGTACCTGTCACCCGGCTGTCTCTGGCTCCCACCGCCACCGCCTCCCGCAGCCGCTGGCCAACTGCAGCACAACAACACGCTCGCTCATTGGCTGAGGCCGCGCCCTCAATAACAGCCTCCTCTAATGGAGGCGCCGTGCCCTTGGCCCGCCCCTCGGTGTACTGCCTAAAGATTCCGTCTTCGAAGAACCAGCGTACCTTCGCCACTCCTTCCTCCCCCCCCCGCAGTGTCTCTGAACGCTGTCAGTTCTAGGGAGCACTTATGTGGTTTTAAATATATATTTATAGATTCCTAGTCTCCTTCATGTTATGCAGTCTGGCCCAGACACCTACGACCCAGATCCGGAACGTTAAACGTCTCCTTGGCTTTTCTTCAGGCGAAGAGCTCCAGGTGGTAACTTCCGTTTCCGGTTGGCTCCGGCTGGAAGGTTGAATATTGCGTGTCCTGAGAGGTCAGGTTGCTGTCAGGTAAATTAGGGAGTTGGCGGGAGATTTCTGGGGTAGGATTAAAAAGTGGAGTCTATGATGTGGAAAATGAGAAAAAGAGAGAGGAAAAGGAAAATGGGAGGGGTCGCCCAAGGAAGTCGAGGAAGTAACTCGAAAGAGTTGTCTTTCAATACCCGGGTAGGAAGGGAAAGCTGGATGCTGTGGGAATGTATTACTGTGGTTGTTAAACGGTGGTGTCTCCTCCCAGCCATCTCCTCTTCGTCCCATGGTCTTTGGTTTACATTTGAATCGAATTGAGAAAAAAAAAACAACCCTCAAACCTTAAACGCATAAAAAGCAATTATTGCAATATATGCCTCGCTATTTCTATAGCTTAATGTAAGAGTTTTCTAGTATAAATGTTTATGCTATCACATGAAGGGGAAAAGAACAGGCTACAAAATCCATTGCATATATGCAAGGCCAGAGACTAAGCATTAAATATTATATTACAGTTCACTTGTTTTCCTCCCATCTTGTTATACTAGTAATCAATTTTTATGAAGGAGTTTGATATATATATATATATTAGATAGATAGTAAGTTCACAACAGATGTTTTTGTTTTTCATAACCCCATACTTTTTATTTTTTTTGAACTGTTTTTCTTGCTGTTCTTATTTAAACAGCTCTGAAAGTGGAACTATTATCTGTTATGTCCTCAGCAGAATATAACTCATTTTTCCTAATGTTTTACTATCGAGGATCCATAACATGCATAAAACAAAACGATATTCTGAAGAATCACAAGTAGGCGAACATTCCTGTAACCACCTCTCAGGTCAGGTAATAAAGCAGCTAATCATTTAGAACATACATTCACAGTAGAGAAGATCCTTCAAACATGAAATTGTAATCGACCAAAAAAAAAAAAAAAGAATGAAATTGGTCAGCAAAACTGGAGGGAATTACTGCAGAGTGTTTTCTGTCCTTCCAAAGAATCACAGGGCATGAACACGCATACAATACAATATTGTAATATTAGTGATATAAAATTTCAGTGAGGTGAGGGAATATGTTTAGGTATTTAAAAGGCTCCTTAAAAAGACAATAATTAAGTTTTGTTGAAAATACTGCCTTAGAGCTCTAATATTTCAATGCAGTCAGTATTGTTATTAAAACAACTTTATATTTCCATATGGTCTTCAAAATTGATGTGCCTCACATTTATAGAATATCTGTTTATACGCTAGTTGTGTAAGTACATACACTTGATTTTGCTTATATTTCAAAGCTGGCCACAGGCATACATTTCTATGACTCCCAAGACTTGGGAGGCTAAGACAGGAGGATTTTGAGTTTTAAACCAGTTTAAGCTACATAAGACTGTCTCAAACAAACAAACAAAAAAGTCAATTTGTATACCCAAATAGTTTCAACTTTAATATGTTCTAGTAACTGATTTAAGAATCTACTTTGAATCCAGGGGGGCTCACACCTGTAATCCTAGCTACTAAGGAGGCTAATATGTGAGGAGCACAGTTCAAAGCCAGCCTGGGCAGGAAAGTCCGTGAGACTTTTTATTTCCAATAAACCACCAGAAAACCAGAAGTGGTGCTGTGGCTCAAGTGGTAGAGCACTAGCCTTGAGCTGAAGAGCTGAGGGACAGTCCAGACCCAGAGTTCAAGCCCCACGACTGACAAAAACAAAACAAAAGAATCCACTTTGAAGCTGAATTTAAAATTCCATTTTACCCAGTTACATACCACATTTTAAATGTGTGTTAGTGACTGTTAAATTAGACAATGAAGATTTAAAGTATATAACCTTATGAATCCTGACCATAAGTTACTTGAATGTCCAACTTTTCTAGGTCACACAATTTTTCAGAGTGATTGTGCTCAGTCACATTTTTGACACCTGGGTGTGAAAATGGAAGGTACACCACAATGTGTTTTCCCCAGTTCTCACAATTTCACCACATAGATTTTAACCTTATATGAAGAAGACTTAACTACACATTGAAGTTCAGAGAAAGTGATTTTCTTGGGATTTTATAGTTGTATTAGTGAACAAAACAGAATTCCAAACTCCCGTCAAGTGGTCAGAGTATTATTGTTAATTTATTATTACTTATTTATGACTATTCTGAAATAGAAATAATTTTTGTGTTTTGTTTTTGACACTGGTTTTGCTGTTATGCTTAGGCTGGTCTTGAACTCGTGAGGACTACCAACATGTGCCACTTCATCCAATTTTTTGTTCTTTATACTTAAGAAAATCCTATAGAAGGTCCCTTTCTGAAATAATTAGGTAGAAGGGAAAACTGATTTTATTAAAAGAAATAGGAATATAGGAGGAATAGGACTAGGAATATGTATACTTTCAGGTTTTCTTTTCAAAGTGTAAATCCAAATTACTTAATATTTTGAAAAATACTTATTGTAGCTTTGAGGGTGTCTGCATTTTATCCCAAGGTTTTAATTTTTACTTTCAAAATTATTTTATGAAAATTTTGACTTGTCATCTTATACTTTACTACACATATGGCAGTCTGCTAGGGTTAATATTCTAGAATTAACATTTGCCAAAATGGGTTTTTTTGTGGGTTGAATGTATGGCTCCAGTGGTAAAATGCTTACCTATCAAGTTCAAATCCCAGTATCACCAAAATAGGGGGGAAGGTGTTACTTTGAAAACATACTATGAAGAACACAGCCATTACGATTTTTTTCAGTTTTGAGTCTTGAACTCTCAGCCTGAGCTCTGTCCCTGTGCTCTTTTGCTCAAGGCTAGAGCTCCACCACATTGAGCCACAGCACCAAGCCCAATTTTCTGGTCATTAACTGGAAACAAGGGTCTCGTGGACTTTCCTTTCCCAGGCTGGCTTTGAACCATGATCATGAGATCTCAGCCTCCTGAGTAGCTGGGATTATAGGCATGAGCCAGCAGCACCCATTTGCCATTCTCAATATGTAGTAAGAGCCTTAGTTTGGTTATTATGTAGTAAAGTCATTCTAGAATCTTGTGCGTGCGTGTGTGTGTGTATGTGTGTGTATGTGTGTGTGTGTGCGCACGTGTGCATGTGTGTGCGTGCGCACACACATGTGCACGTGCGTGTGCCAGTCCTGGGGCTTGAACTCAGGGCCTGGACACTCTCCCTTAGCTGCTTGAACACTGGGCCTCAATGCTGTGCCTCAGCTCCTCAGCTCTAGGCTGTTGCCCTACCACTTGAGCTACAGCCCTACTTCTGGCTTTTCTGAGTAGTTTATTGGAGATAAGAGTCTTACAGATTTTTCTGCTCTGGCTGGCTTCATACCACAGTCTTCAGATCTCAGCCCCCTGAGTAGCTAGGATTACAGGGGTTTGCCATTGGTGCTCAGCTTCATTGTAGAATCTTAGTGCCATAATTTTTATGCATATTATTACTTTATGTATATATGCATGTGTGGGTGTATGTATGTATATTTTTTTGAGACAAGGGCTAGGTTGCCCAGGCTAATCTGGAATGCTTGGGCTCAAGTGATCATCTTGGGGATCAGGTACCTCCATACCTGGTTTTCTTTGATATTATTCACTTTACCAAATAACAATAAAATAATGGACTAAATAAGTCTTCCAAGTTGTATTATAATTTTAGCTTGTGTTGGTGGTTATCTGTGAAAAATTATCTTTGTTTAGCTTATGTTTTTGTTATCTTATGTTTTGTATATATATATTGCCTAATTCTGAACATATGCCAGTTATATAATTAGCATTTTTATAAAATATTTTCACTCTTTTTTAAGTATATCTTTAAAAAAATAGTTCATGTAAAATGCAAATGTTAAATTTTCCTTTTGGATATCTACAACCTGATTTTCTTCCTTATATTACTCTTTTGCTATAGAAATGGGCCCTGGACATGGACGTGGACATGGTCATAGTAAAGTTGAACTTCCAGATTATAGACAGTGGAAAATAGAAGGGACACCATTAGAAGCTATTCAGAAGAATCTGGCTCTACAAGGACTAAGGGATCCATGGGCCCGGTAAGATGATTAAGTAGTTTAGATAGAATAGAGCTTGGAGAACTAATATCTGGGTTCCTTTTCAGCATATTTTCCTTAAAGAACCATAAAAAGTCTGGGTGCCAGTGGCTGACACCTGTAATTCTAGCTACTGAGGAAGCCAAGATCTGAGTTCAAAACCAGCCTGGGTGGCAAACTCTGTGAGACTCTTATATCCAATAAACCACTCAGAAAACCAGAAGTGGTACAGTGGCTCAAGTGTTAGAGTGCTAGCCTTTAGCTGAAGAGCTGAGGCACAGCATTGAAGCCCAGAGTTCAAGCCCCATGACCAGCAAAAAAAGAGTCTCACAGATCTCGTGCCTGCACTGGCTTTGAACTGCTATTCTCAGCTCTCAGCCTCCGGAGTAGCTAGGATTATAGGCATGAGCCACAAATACCTGGCCTGTTTTAGGATTTTCATAGATATTCTTAAGCAAAATGAAGTATTTCTGTTCTGTTCTACTCAGAGGTTTTTTGTGTTTTTGTTACTGCTCTTGTTGGTTAAAGGAACAGAGTCTTGTAATATTGTCTAGGCTGGACTCATATTCCTGGTCCTAAACAATTCTCCTAGCTGGAACTAGAGGGACTACTCTAATATTCTACTCTACTCTTGTTATTATTAATAAATGATTGTGGAATTTTGTCAGTTCCTTTTTCTGTACTGAAGTGCTTTTTGTTTCCTGTTAATATAGTGAATTACTTTTATTGACTTTCAAATATCAAATCAGGCACACACAAAACAGTATGTGTGTATATATTGCTAGATTCAGTTTTTCTCAAATTTTGTTAGGAGTATTTGCATCCATGTTCATGAGGCATGTAGTTTTCTTATAACATCTTTGTATGGTTTAGTATCTAAATTATTTTCTAATAAGGCATATTTTTAGTGTTAAATGATTTTTGCCTTTTACAACATGATTATTTTTTTTTTCACTGACTTAACCATTATCTGTGGAAGAGAACTTTTTTTTTCCCCTGTAGGTCTCTGACTTCTTTTAACTCAGACATACCCTAAATCAGGTTACTCAGGAGAATGTTTGCCACAACAGGAAATTAGTCTTCTGAAGTTCAAGTTTCTATAATGGAAAAGCTGTGATCCTCTTGAATAGTTATTTTAATGTCAAGTGTTAACACCCTCTTAAGTGCCAAAATATATTTTGCATGTTTGATCTTTATAGCACTATAAGTTAGATAATAATCACTAGGAGAGGAAGCAGACCCTTAAAAGTTATGAATTTTCCCCAGCCTAAAAGGTTATGATTAGCAGAGCAAAGATTAATGTCTAGTTCTTTTAAGTTTATCTTTCCATTTCAGTGGTGTTTGAATTAGCTGCTTGGCTGGACTATGAGATCAAAGTGATCCATTTGAGAATTCTATAAAATCATGAGTAGAATAACAATGAAATCTAAAATCATCAACTTTTTAAAAAATTAAATATTCTTGAGGATTGGAGGTATGGCTAGAATGATAGAGTGTCTGCCTATAAATATAAGGCTCTGAATTCAAACTCCATACCAACAAAAAATATATATATGTATGTATGTATACGTATGTAGACATGAAACTTGGTCAGAATATTAATTATCTTTTGCCACATGAAGTTTCCTATTGTGATCTACTTAGATTATCTTGCCAAATGGTACATTTAAGTGTTTTAGATAGGTGAAAGTTAAATTTGTTTTACTCAATGAATGTACATGAATTGTGTGTAATTATCCTTTCTTTCCTTTTTTTCTAGCAACGAAGCTTGGAGATACATGGGTGGCTTTGCAAACAACTATTCCTTTCTTGGTGTAATGTTCAAAGGTTTCAAGTGGGGATTTGCTGCATTTTTGATAGCAGCAGGGGCTGAATATGTGTTTGAATCTCAGGATAACAACAAGGGCCACTAAAAATAGTACATGGAAGTATCTTATGACTTCATAACTCTCATAAAAATATTTCCTCACTGTAGCCTACTTGTCTCTGTAATAGTTCCTTAATAAAGTAGTAAAAACATGCAAGTCTTTTATAATTCTTTTTTGTTTTTTTGGTGGAACTCATGTTTGCATTTGGTCTGTGCTCACTAGGTAGGCATTCTACCACTGTTTTTGTAATTCTGGAAAAAAAGAAGAAAGATGCTGAGAATAGGGGTACACATCTGTAATCTCAGCACTCCAGAATCTGAGGCAAAAGCATCATGAGTTTGGGGCCACCTTGAGCTACATCATGAAACCCTAACTCAGAAGAAAAAAAAGAAAAGTAGTTACTCAAGGCCAGCCGAGGAAGAATAAAGTTTGTGAGACACAGTCTTAAAATGTGTGTGTGTGTGTGTGTGTGTGTGTGTATCCAGCAGAAATCAGGACTGGATGTGTAAAGTGGTAGAGCACTAGCCTATCAAGCTCTAGGCCCAAGTGCCTTAAGCCATACCAGATTTTGCTTGGAATATATGGGATAACTGCAATGCATTCTGCATGTAGCAAGCAGCCATCATATATTTAGCTAAATAAACAGATGTCTTCTAGCAGATTTTTAAGTTGGAATTGGCCTTGCTGCCTTAGGGGAACCTAGATTATACTACAGAACACTAGGTGCCCAGTTCTGGTTAACATCCATATGTCATGTTCATTTGTCTTTATTATGCTATTGGCTATTCTTTCCTGCGTCCTCATTGTTCCCATGTTGCAAAAAGCTTAATTTTTTTTGGTCTCTATTTCTTTTTTTTATTATTGTGAAAATACCATATAGAGGGGTTACAATTACACGGGCACTGTAATGAGTACATTTCTTATCAAGCATTGTTGCCTCCTCCTTTGTTTCCCTTTACCATCCCTTCCCCTCTCCTACCAACCCCCCCCCTCCTCCCTTTCCCACCCTATCCCTCTATTTCTTCTCTTTTCCTTTTATAAGTCAATTGTGGGGCTTGAACTCAGGGCATTTCAAGGCGAGCACTCTACCTTTTTTTGGTTGTTCCTGGGGCTTGAACTCTGGGCCTGCATGCTGAGCCACAGCACACCACTTCCAGTTTTCTGGTGGTTAGGGATAAGAATCTCCTGGGCTTTCCTGCCCTAGCTGGCTTCTAACTATGTTACTCAGATCTCAGCCTTCTGAGTAGTTAGGATTATAGGCATGAACCACTAGCGCCTGACCCTTTTAACAACAAATGACGTTCTCCTTGTATAGTAAACAGGCACTCTCCCATTTAAGACATGTCCCCAGCCCTTTATTGTTTTAATTATTTTATAGGGTCTCACATTTTTGCCCAGGGCCAGCTGCTGGCCACATCTTTCTATTTGTTCATCCTATCTGTAGTGTTTGTCTGAAATTCCAAGCACACACTACTATCGTCAGCTTATTTTTCTGAGATACACTCACTAACTTTAGCCTGGCTTGGTCTATAACCTCAATCCTCCCAATCTCCCTCCCATGTAGCTGAGATTTTAGGGGTGAGCCACCTCACCGGCCAACTGTTAAATTTTAATTAAATCTAAAGAATTGAAACTCATTGAGGAGAGCTATTTCTTGCCTCAAAAAAAAAAAAAAAACAATTGAAACTCAGGGTGATTTTTTTTTTTTTTTTGGTCAGTTATGGGGCTTGAACTTTGGGCTTGGATGCTGTCCCTGTGCTCTTCAGCTCAAGGCAAGGGTTCTACCGCTTGAGCCACAGCGCCACTTCCAGTTTTCTAGTGGTTTATTGGAGATAAGTCTCATGGACTTTCCTGCCCTGGCTGACTTTGAACTGTGATCCTCAGATCTCAGCTTCCTGAGTAGCTAGGATTACAGGCGTGAGCTGCCAACGCCTGGCTTTAGGGTGATTTTGTGTGTGTGTATGTGTGAGTGAGTTTGTTATTTATAAATGTAAACTTGAGTAATCCTAAATAAATTAGATAGGAATTCAGTAGTAAACTGGCAGCAGTAAGTGGAATGTGGGGAAATGGAATCATTAAAAAAAATTCAGTGCAGCTCTTGCTGCTCTTTTCTAGCTCTCTCTGCTCTCTCTCTGCTCTCTCTGCTCTTTTCTAGCTCTTTTCCTCTCTCTTTCCTCTCTTTCCCAGCTCTCATTCCCAGGCCTTTCCCAGCCACATGGAGTGCCAACCTTGCCTGGTCCCAGCAGGTCTACTGAATAAACCTACCCCTTAACTGAAAAAAAAAAAAATTTTTTTTTCAGTGCAAAGAAGATAATCATTTTAAAGGAACAAAGAGCCCTGAGACTGACAGAAATAACAAGAGGAAAAGTTAAACTCAACAATTAGATTAAATGTAAGTGGGCTAACCTTCAAACCATTCCAATTAAAAAATATGTGCTAGGCACAGTGGTGTGGACTGATAGTTCTAGCTCCTTGGAGGCTGAGGTAGGAAGATAGCAAGTAGAAAGTAAATTGGTAACAGGCCATCTCAAAAAAAAAAAATTTTTTTTAACTAAGAAAAGGTAAAAGTGGCCAGGCGCCAGTGACTCACACCTGTAATCCTAGATACTCAGGAGGCTGATATCTGAGGATCACAGTTCAAAGCCAGCCTGGGCAGGAAAGTCCGTGAAACTTAGCCCTGTAGCTCAAGTGGTAGAGCGCTAGCCTTGAGCTGAAGAACCTAGGGACAGCGCCCAAGCCCAGAGTTCAGGCCCCACAACAACAACAACAAAAAAAGTTAAAAGCGAATTATACAGCTTGTGGGTGGGAACGGGAAGGAAAAACTGGGAGAGAGCAAGGAAAGGGGTGATATTGTCCAAAAAGAAATGTACTCTACCTGACACGTAATTGCAACCCCTCTGTACATCACCTTTATAATAACAATAAAAAATGTAAGAGAAAGATATACCATACAAATAATATTTAAGTAGCCATATTAGATAAAGGTAAATTTCACTGTAAAGAGCATTCTCTATGGTAGAGCCATTTCATTATCAAAGCATGGTTACTTCATTAGGAACACATAAATTAACTTTATTTATTTATTTTTGGGTCTAGTTGTGGGGCCTGAACTTTGGGCTTGGGTGCTGTCCCTCAGCTCTTCAGCTCAAGGCTAGCACTCTACCACTTGAGCCACAGC